CTTTTTAGCAGGGCCTGTTGCGACAGGACAAGGGGGAATGGCTTTAAACTAAAGGGGGGTAGATTTAGACTAGATATGAGGAAGAAATTTTTTACACTGAGGGTGGTGAAGCACTGGAACAGGTTGCCCAGAGAGGTGGTGGATGCCCCATCCCTGGAAACATTCCAGGTCAGGTTGGACGGGGCTCTGAGCAACCTGATCTAGTTGAAGATGTCCCTGCCCACGGCAGGGGGGTTGGACTAGATGACTTTTAGAGGTCCCTTCCAACCCAAACTATTCTATGATTCTAAATAATTTCATAGATAGATAACCATGTTTTCTCCACTACAAAAAATGGACCAGCACATCCTTTTATAACCTCACAGGTTTGGAGGTAGTACACAGATGACAAAAGGAAGCAATGTAGATGCTAACTAACTGTATTCTGTTTGACAAGCTTAAGCTACAAGAAAGAAACACTGCTTTTTTAAATTTGTAAACTTAGTCTATAATGGATCCTCCATTAAAAAAAAAGGAAAATCTAAAAAGTAACTGAAATTTTCGTATTATGCTAAAACTTGTTAAAAATAGAAAGAATCAGAGTGTTAGTTACATCCAGAATCTAAAATATGTCATTAGGACTCTCACAAATACACTCTTAAATTGTTTTTACTTGTACGTTACTTTTTTTAAAATCGTATGGCTGAATTTTGAGTACTGACAGAATGAAGAAACAGTCCTTGCAGTTCTTTCTGCAACAGAGCTTTATGACCAACTGTTTGTCTTCATTAATACCTCTGACGATTTACTAATTTAGTCCCTGAGTTTTGACTCCTTAAAAAAAAACACAAAAAAACCCCCCACAAAACAACACACCACCAACACCCACACACAACACAACAAAATCCCACATGGCTGACTTTCAATACAGAGCACATCAAGACACTACCTCAAAGAAACTCAACTGTTTTTCTTTTCATAATATCCAGGCTTCTGTAACTGAGCTCAAAACCAACTGTAAATCCTAGATTAGGGTAGTAAATGTTTCAGTTTCAAAAGAATATCAACCTCAACATCAAATGTTTGCATCCATCTTGCTACACAGGTGGATTATCCCTTTTTGAGTGTCTGCACTGTTCCCATGATAAACAGCAGATGTTATTTACAACAGCCTACTCACAGAGCTTACGAAATAAAGGATCTAGGCTGGTTTTATCTGTGGAAGAAGCAAAGTTACTTAGCAAGCTGGTGGTCAGTGCTTTTTCATTCATATTGTTAATGAGGTATGAAGAATTACAAGCATCGCCAATAAGACTTAAGATACTGCACTACCTGGATGAATATAAAACAAATGTCTTGAGTTGAGTGATCGCTTAGTATATGCGAGATTCCCCAGTGAGTTGCTTCTTTTCACAGTTCAACTTTCCAATTATCTTGAGCATCTCCAGGCAGATGCTATTTTCATGTGATCCCTGCAACATTTTGCAAGTGTTGATTGCATCTGCCAAGGAGAAAGAGTACTCCTTCACAACCAACCTCAACTTCTTCAAAAAAGTCGATAAGAGATTAAAGTGGGGAACTGTATTAATCCTCAAGGAATTCTACACGCAAACTTCTCAGTTTATTAGATACTCCCTACAGATCCACAGCTCTGACTTTTAAGCCTTTTCAAAACCAAAAGAGCAATAAGTTCCAGAACAAGAACTGGGATTGTTGCAGCTCTGTGAAAACAAGAACAAGAGTACACTCATTTGTTTGGTGTCTCCCTTGGGAACTGAATCTGATTTCTGTGTTATAAACAAAAGATTCAGTATTTAAACAGTATATCTAATCATAAATGGTCTAGATATTCAGTTTATGCATGTTACTGCAAACTCTCTATGGACTATTAGATAAAGGTGGCAAGGGGTACTGCACTTTAACTAAACTCTGGTTTCTTAGATGGTTAGTATTGGAAAGGGTAGCCTTGAGTAACTTAAAGAAATCTTAACTATGTAAATTTTTGACAAAAAGTAAGTTTCAAAATAAATTGTTTTACATTTTAAATTGTGATTTCCTTTACTTTTTAATGAAAAGTTATTATTGCCATGTTAACAAGAAAGACACATGTAGTAGAAAGCCTTCCAGCAGTCCAGCAGCAATATTTACTTAACGTTCCACGGTAATGCCCGAGTATACACACACACTTCCATTTTTCTTTTCATTAAATGGATATCCTGGTTTCATTACGTTACATCTTAAATTACATAAGAAATCGTACAAAATGCCCAATACAATATCATGTTGCTGCTAATGTTTTTAGTTTTTCCCCTTCATAGTGGTTTTTTTGTTTGCTTTTTAAACTGCTTAAGAGTCAGACTTCTGTTTATAACTAGAATAGCTGTTTTAGATTCATTCTGAACAAAGTTGTCCTTTAAAAAAAAATACAATGGCAGCTACAAAGAAAACTCCAAACTCACTCCAAAATGCCTAACACATACCTCTGAATTAGCACTATTTCCATTCATAAGAACTCTTTCAATAATGTTTGTCATCATAACGTGATCTAGAATGAATTAAGATATCTTATTAAGAACTTCTTGTATGAGACAAATATTTATGCAAACAAACAGATCATTGAATAAGCGGTACACATTACCTACTCTGTTCCCTTCCCCCATTTTAAAAATGTTTAGCAAAATACTGTTGCAGGTTTTTTCCTTAAGAGCGGTTTATTTTCCCCCCCCAGAGTTACTGAAAAAAAAACCCAACAACCCACAAACACAAAGAGGACAAAAGTAGATACAGATACATACCAATTAATGGATTTTTTCTTACGTCAAGTACTACTAATGTTGTATTAGTTTGAAGAGCATCTAATAATGACCTTGCTCCGTCATTGGATATTCCACACTGCTGCAAATCAAGTGCTAAAATGTTTAAGGAGGTAAAAAAAAATATTCAGTGGTGTAACCTGTAGTCAATATCTAATACAATTAATACACACCTGCTGAAAACCTCCATTTCATAGAACTCGAAGCATGAGAAAAGAGGACATGACAACAACAGCCATGTGTAAAAACAAGAATATTACTTTCAGAGAAGAAAACTAGAAATTTATATCAGTATTATAGATCAACATTAAGAAATAACTACTAAACAACTGCAAAGGAAGGAATATAAAAATAACGGTTAAGTCACTGTTCTTGACAATTCCTAGTAGATATAATATCCCCAGGCACCAATTAATTCAACTGCCCGAGGTAACATCATATGTACAAACACACAACTTATGTCTGAAAAGTCTGATTCAATGCTTCTACAAGTTCATTGCTTGCACACATCAGTAAGTTATGTGGTCACCATGAAATAGTACTATCACAGCTTTGGCATTTATCTCATGTTGTGCATGCAGAGTATCACAGAATGGTTAAGGTTGGACAGGACCTCTGGAGGTCATCTTGCTGAACCCCCCTGCTCAAGCAGGCTCACTTAAAGCCACTTGCCCCATATGTACTATGTCCAGACAGCCCTTAAAGACCTTCAAGGACAAAGACTCCACAGCCTCCCTGGGCAACCTGTGCCAGTGTTTGGCCACCCTCACAGTAAGAAAGTGTTTCCTGATGTTCAGGAGGAACCTCCAGTGTTTCAGTCTGTGCCCACTTCCTCTTGACCTATCACCAGGCACGACTGGTAAGAGCCTGGCTCCATCTTCTTTACAGCCTTCCTTCAGATATTCATACACCTTGATGAGACCTACCCTGAGCCTTCTCTTCTCCAGGCTAAACAGTCCCAGCTCCCTCAGCCTTTCCTGAAATGAGAGTTGCTGTAGTCCCTTCATCATCTTAGTGGCCCTTCGCTGGACTCTTGCCGGTAGCTCCAGCTCTTTCCTGTACAGGGGAGCCCAGGTCTGGCCTCACCAGTGCTGAGTAGAGGGGAAGAATCACCTCCCTCAACCTGCTCACAAGTCTCTGCCTGATGCAGCCCAGGATACCATTAGCCTTCTTTGCCACAAAGGCACTTTGCTGGCTCATGGTCAGCTTGCTGTCCACCAGGACCTCCAGGACCCTTTCTGCAAAGCTGCTTTCCAGCTACACAGCCCCCAGCATGTTCTGGTGCATGGAATTATTCCTGCCCAGGTGCAGGACCTTGCACTGCCTTTTGTTAAACTTCATGAGGTTCCCATCAGCCCATTTCTCCAGCCTGCTGAGGTCCCTCTGGATGGCAGCACATCCCCACCTTCCCAGGGATCCAAGTAAAGCTGACTGGCCTGTAGTTCCCATGCTCCTTCTTCCCAGCCTTCTTGAAGATAGGGTAGAGGGCAGCCTTCTTGCTACCCTCCAGTCCTCAGGCATGCCTCCCAATCACCATGACCCTTCAGAGATTACTGACAGTGGCCTCAAAATGACATCAGTCAGCTCCCTTGGCACTTGTGGATGCATCCCATCAGGGCCTATGGACTTCTGTACGTCCAGTTTGCTTAAGTATTCTCTAATCTGATCCTCTTCCATCAGTATGCACGTTATCTGTACACCTGGTTCAAACTATAAAACAATTTCAACAGGTAAGTATTTGATTCTATGGACAGAATGCTACGACTTGTTTCTCTCTCTCTCTCGTTGTTTGACTTTCCATTACAATTTATTATGACTTGTTTCTCTCTCTCTCTCGTCGTTTGACTTTCCATTACAATTTATTATTATTATTCTACTATTTCAAGTATGAAACTGTTCTTATCTCAACCCATGAGTTTTCTTACTTTTGCTCTTCCCATTCTCTCCCCCATCTCACTGGGGGGGAGCACAGGTGAGCGAGCAGCTGTGTTGTGCTTAGTTGCCGACTGCGGTTAAACCACGACAGAGAAAGAGAAATTTCTTTTGAAAAAAGATTACTCTTTCCTAGCTAATACTGAGTTACTCTTCCAGCTACATTTGCTATAACTGACAATTTTAAGTTTTCTGCCTGCCACTACTGTATCTTAAGAGTCAATATTTCACAATACCTTTTAGCCAAAGGTCCTCTCCTAGACAGTCTGCAAAGGCACTTGCTCCTCTATCTCCAACAAGCATGTTGCAGTTGAAAGTAATCCGCCTCAAGCCGGTCATATAGTCAAGGTCAGGTCTCCTGTAACGCAAGCTTTCAGCCCAAGCTTCACCATGTCTTTTCACTGCCTGGTGCTTTGCAAACAAAGAAGCTGTTACCAAGTGCAAAGGCAAAGCCATTATTGACAACAAGATCACACGTTATCTTTGTTTGTAACTGATGTTTAATGGCTTGAGTGCTGATACAAGAAACACAGTTACACCATTTCTGAGTTTAAGAAATACATGTAATTTTTAAACATTACAGTTAAGTCATGTTTGTTCTGATCATCCAATTTGCAAAGCAAATTCTTAAAGATGGCTACAAAACATCTTACTACCTTCTTTTGGCAGACAGACACTTTCAACGCATCTTGAATAGGAAATACACACTAGGAAATTATGTGCTTTCATGCAAACCAATGTTAACATTAATTAGAATATTGTACTAGTCACAAGCTTACTAGTCAGTTAATTAGTAGCTTCTAAACTGTAAACTCAATTATTCTTACCCAATGCTTAAGAATAGTTAGGACATTTTTCAAAATTTGTAACAATGAAAGAAGGGCTCCCCAAAACGTGTCAGACATTTACAGCCCTAATCCTCATTTAAAGAAAATACATCGGTCTGAACTGTTATTTGTTTAACTGACGTTTACTAAGAAATACCATATTTAAATCCCACACCAGTAAACTAAGCCACTTCTGCCATACAGAGTCACAAATTTCAGAAGGACTATTCGCATACTTAAATTCAGTATTCATATATGCTGCTCACAAAGTGCTTTGATGGATTTAGAGCTTGAAAGTAAAAGAAAAAAAATCAAATGTATTTAGTTCTTGTGAACGTTTGGTTCGAAGGAAGGTGATTAAATTACCTTTAATACATTTGCTATATGTTCTGCCCCTCGCCATGTGAGGCTACATCCTGTAAAGTTTACATATCTGATAGTAGATGAATTCTTTACACTCTGACAGATTGCTAAAGAAAACAAAAGCATGCATGTTATCTACACACACCACAGCCAGATTATCAGAACACACTTTTTCACTGCCATATTAAGAAGTTGAATCAGCTTCAATAGGCAAAAGCCTTGACAAAGAACTAGTGTTGAAATACAAAGTCTATTTTAAATACCTTTAAAGTGTTCTAAGATTATGTATTTCTAGCGCAAGTGTTTATCAAAGACTATGTGAACAAGCTAGAACATGTTTTATTTCAGTTTACTTATGTAGACATGAACAAATCAAGAAAGAGTTATCCTCAAACAAGTATTATGATTGTTGTTTTAAATAAAAATATAAACATCATTATAAAGTAGTATGGCTATTTACTAGCATCAAGTGAAGAAATTCCAAGTCTTTAATGTTGTTAAGTCATGTAGAATAAAGTGAAGGTTGTTATTTTAATCACTACAGACAAATTTAAAACAGGAACGGAAATACTGAAAAACTTACTTACCTATTTAAAGGACTAAAAAAGAGAGAAGTATATTTACATGTTTTTGATTCTAAACTTACTTTCTAATCCTCCATCTCCAATTGGACAGTGGGCTAAAGAGACACTCTCCAGAGATGAAGCTGTGGCCAAGCCCTTCAGAATAAAAACAATGTTTGTTAACTGGCTTGAAAAGCAAAAATACAGAGAAAAGACCAAACCACCCAAACTGCTCAGAACTCTTTCTGCTCCCTGCAAGAAACTCTAGAGGGTTCAGAGGAAGGTCAAAACAAGTGAACTTTAAAGCTCAGTTTAAGCTGGTTTATTTCTTTAGCACAGGAGGAGCCGTAGCCTATGGGCAACAAGCAGCAACCTCCTTTCCTAGAAGCCACTCACAAGCAAACTGGAGAGTGTTCCAATAACACAACCTGAAGACCTGTTTTTATCTCCTTGGTGTCCCACAGCTAGTCTTCTGTCACGTACATGCACAGTAGTTTCAGTCACAAGCATAAGTTATACACCCCAAACACATGGCAGAGATGTTGCTAAGAACTTTCTAATAAGCCTTGATGAATCAGGGCAAGGGAAGGTTATGTGATTTTGACAGGTGCAGCAAGACTAGGTTATACTGAGTGTCTCAGCAGAATCATTCATACGATGGACAACACAAAGATATCTTAGAAGAGGAACGTCCTCGTCTGTGACAAATACTTACAAATCAGTTGCTACTTCTCTACGTTCTAAGCATACTTTCCATTTATTTGTATACTAACATATTCTCACCTTTGTTAAAAGTATTAGATCTCTCTCCCTCAGAAGCAAACCCTGCAGTTCTAAACTTTTTAGTGCATCTGATATACTGAGACAGCCTTTGACAGCTTTGCACAGTTGGCCAGTCAAGTCTTTCGATCGAATTGCCGGAATTCTCCTTCTAAAGTAAGTTTTATATCTTTCAACACCTAGTAAACAACAAAAATTACACATCAGTAAAATCCAGTCCCTATTGACTTAAAAGCAATCATAATCATAAACCTTGCTTTTTTGCTGCTTTTCTTAAATAGAAATAATTCCTTAGGTATTACAATTCCTCCCCCCACGTATTCAATCACACAAAAGTTTTATGCAACAAATTCTAACATGCATACATCAACATATTTATCTTTTATAGCCATCACTACAAACCTGATTCTCCAAGGCCCTGTTGATGAAAACTTCTTATTCCAATAGAAGTCAAAGTCTTATTATGCCTAATAGCATTCAGAAGTGGCACCCAATCAGCAGCTTTGATGCGATCTACAATTAGATCAAGAGCACCCTGAGTCAGGTTAGTCTTCACAGCTTTCAGTGGGACAGAGCCTTGAAGAGCACAAAGATGTTCATAATGTGAGTAGAAATCCAGCATGCACTGTCTTCTTATTTTGACTGACTCAATCATTTCTTTTACGTGATAAATGTCTCTCTAAAATGAGGGGAAAAAAAAAAGATATAAACTTTTTCCAATGTATAATTGATTTCGCAACACAGTCTCAATTCAACATGCATACCCAAAACATGAATATGTTCATGCATATTGTATAGCATTTACACGTCTTTGATGTGGCAGCTAAAACATTGATGTCTTGTGATGCTCACTACCTGTGTAAGTACAGCTGAATGAGTAAGGGGATGAAAAAAAAACAACCAACAAACCTGCATTTTTATTCTCCCACACAAATAGGGACACCCAAAACCACAGAAGGACTAATGTTCAAGCACTAACTGCTGTAAAGTTCTGTTTTCCTCTTAAAATTTGATTTTGTAGTGTCAGGGTGTGCAGACTCCTGAAAGCCTTGCACACTCCCCGACCCAACACCAAGGGATACAAATGACTATTCCATAAAGAACTAGTTGTGAGCTTCTCTGCTACTTCAATCACAAGTCTAAATTCTCATAATACAGAATAAACATGTGTTTTCCGAAATATTTTTGCTATTGCATACCTTATATACTTATCCCAGTAAATTTAGGAAAGCACTTTTCAGGCATAAATTTTTGTTACACATTAGTAGCCATGTAGCAAAACAGTACTAACTCCCAAGTAGAATCTCTAAATACTGCTATGGCACAGCTATTAGAGTAAGTAATTCCACCGGCTCAATAGGAGTATTTGTCAGAATATTTAGAGGACCCATTTATTTATCTATTTATTCATTATTCAAGACAGCATTAAGTATTCCACACATGATATAAAACATTGTCCACATTGTGAACATTTTTTCATATTATTAAAGACTAGAAAGCTTCAGCCGATCAGCTGAAACACTCTGTATGTCAACATGGGACATGAATTGCTGGATATGTGCAAGCATGTGAGGACAGCCATTTGTAAGAATATAGTTTAGGAAAAAAAATAATCACATTATTAGTATTTGGATGACTGAAACTGTAATAACAATAGGAATAGGAACTCTAATAATAGTTCCTCTACGTCCTTTTATTTCTTTTAGTTTAGCTCTGATTTACTAGCATTAGATAATGACCACGCTGTGGCCACAGGAACAGAAACTACCAAATTATAATCCAACACTTCAGCTTCAGAAAGTGACCATTTATTGTAACGCACCACTGACTTTAAGTGATGTATCAATGTGCAACATATTGGCCTTTTATCTCCAGATCTTAAGCAATATTCTTTCACAGTGGCTTTCATTGCAACACCTGAACACCACACTTCTAACTGAAGTAAAGAAAGGAGCTCCTGGCCCTAGCACTGAATTTTAACCCACTTGCAGGTAGAAAGGAAAAGGGCCAAACTAATCAGACCCACAATAACCTCCAATTGAGAAACAACTATGTAAACTAGAACTCTTCTGCATGGAAGTTAGTGCATCTGACACAACCCTAGAACATCTTGACTGGCTCTGAGAATGTACACAGAGGACAATTATTTACTATCTCTTTCAATACAGAAGCAAGAAGACATCAGATAATACTAGCTGGTTACAAATTAAAGAAAAAAAAGAACCAAAGCACGTAGTAAAACTGAGAAATCCAGTTCCATGCTAAGAGTTTTCAGGAAGCTGTAAGTTTATAGCGATTCAAAAAACAGCTGCACAAATTTATAGGGGGGCAAAAAAATTCCATGCAAGACCAGTGATCACAGAAACAATGACCATGCCTTACATCCGGAACTGCAAGACATACACAGGAAGCTTAACTATATGTTTACTCTCTGCTTATACACTGTACTAAGCGTGGCCTGGTGGTCTGCCAGGGCTAAACACATTTTATTTGACCTGTTGGACCACTGTATTTAAGTATATAATACAGCATCCACCTGACATACGCAAATAAACAACTCTTGTTATAACTGGGGTAAAATAGGTTTTTTTGTGTTTCACCCTCTCAGTATTGCCACCAACTCTGGGAATTACTTCAGTGCTCCGCTTCCCCAACAAAGTACACCATTAAACCAGCAAGAACTGGGGACTGCGCTGTCCGCCATCAGCTAGGGGGATTCGAGAAGCGCCCGGGGTGAGGGGGGAGCGGGGCGGGAGCAGCGACAGCCGCTCCCTCCAGCCCGGTGCGCCGCCCCGGCTCGGACCGTCCCACCTTCCCGGAACGGGCCTCAGCCAGCCCCTGCGGACTCCCAGCTGGGCCACCAGCACCCTGCCCACTCCTCCATCGCGGAACGGACACGACCGCGCAGGAGTTACCCGCCTTCTCCCCCCTGCCCGGGTCCCAGCCCCC